CCTAGTATTTACAGAATGAATATCACTTATTTTCGCAAAACTACTTTTATTTTTGTGTACGTACATTACATTTTCATAAATGTATTGAGAGGCCAGAGTTAATATATTAATTTCTTTAAATTTTTGTCTCAGTGACTCTTTTGGTTTTAAATTATATATTGCTCTAATGGCCCTCTTCTGTAAAATAAATATAATTTCAGTGTCAGTCGCGTGTCCCCATAGCAAAATACCATACGACATAATGCTATGGAAATAACTGAAGTAAACTATTCTAGCTGTTTCAACACTGGTAAGAGTTCTAATCTTTTTTACAGCATATGCTGCAGAACTAAGTCTGCTAGCTAGTTTTGATATATGGGGGAGCCATTGAAGCTTTGCGTCCAGTGTGATTCCAAGAAAAATGGTGGTATCAACAAGACTCAGTTCCTCCCCATTTAAAATTACATTAGTATTGACATGTTTAACATTAGGAGTTACGAACTTCATACACTTAGTTTTAGTTCCATTCAAATGCAAATTATTAACATTAAACCAATTGAATAACTTAGCTATAGCATTATTTACTTCGTCGTAATTTAATAACTGTCGTTTTAATTTGAAAATTAATGAAGTATCATCAGCAAATAATACTATATCATGGTTATCCCCTACTGTGTAAGGTAAGTCATTAATATATACAAGAAACACAAAGGGGCCAAGAATTGAGCCCTGAGGCACGCCCATTTGTACAATCGACCCGGAAGAACTCATACTATTAATAACAACTTTTTGTGTTCTGTCACTTACATATGAAATAATTAATTTAAGAGCATCATTTCTTACACCGTAGTGTTGAAGTTTCCTGATTAATGTTTCATGGTGAACACAATCAAAGGCCTTGGATAGGTCACAGAACAAACCCAAAGCATCCTGTGAATTCTCCCATGCATTAAATATATATTTAATCAGCTCAACACCAGCATCAGTTGTCGAGCGACCCCTTGTGAAACCAAATTGATTTTTATGAAGTAATTTATTTACATTAAAAAAAAATTAACAATTGATCAAGAATAATTTTTTCAAAAATTTTACTAAGTGTTGGCAGTACAGAAATAGGTCTAAAATTAGCGGGGTCCAATGTACTACCAGATTTAAATAAAGGTATTACTTTACTATGCTTCATTAAATCAGGAAACACACCAGATTTGATACTACTATTAAAAATAATAGATAGTTGAGGTGCGATTGTATCTATTATAGACGCAATAACTTCAACAGAAATCCCCCACAGATCGGCGGTTCTCTTAATATCAATAGTCTTAAAATATTTTACAATATCTTTTGATGAAACTTTATGAAATGTAAAATTCTTTGTACACACATTTACATTTTGTTTAAGTAATGATTCGGCGACGGTAGGAGAAGAATTCAGTGACTTAGTGGTTCAATAATCTATGGGGGAGGCCTATATTCAGTAGTGGTCTTTAATAGACTGTAAAAGTTATATCGTACACGAGTATCCTAAATTAATTAATTGACGTTGAATAACATGTAACATAATATATATATATATATAAACAAATAGAACATATTCTGGTGTCAGGAGACAAACGGACGTTCAGTCTTTTATTTATTTGATTCGGGACAACTCGACGCGGTACAGCAGTATAAATCATTGTGTGAACTTAAGGAAAGAATAATGTGGAATAAACTTTTTGATGTGGTTAAAACTGTTTCAGTAAGTTAATGAGTTATTTACACTTAACAATTATCACGCACAGGTACACGTGTAATTTAAGTTCGACAAAAATTTGTAGTTAATTTATACCTATACATACATTTATATACGTCCTTTTCTCATTTACAATGTCAAAGAGTTTTAGTGTCTTTGTTTCATGTACATATTTTTATAATTGTAAAACATATTGATATAAGCTCTTGTTGTTGCTAGTAAAATAAAATAGAATAAATACTTTTTCATTAAAAAATATCTGATATCAATAAACATTTCATATTATATATCTCTTCCGATATATAATATGAATTTAGTTTTTCGTTAACACATAAGACTTTTACTTAGACTTTTACACTAAACTATGATATCATTTTCACTATTTCTTTACAAAAGTAACAAACACTGCCTTAGAGTTATTTTAATTGGCATGAGTAATTCTACAACCCTATTGAATTAGAATGAACATATCTAATGTTGGGGCCGCGGATTAGAATACAATATAACAAATATTAATTCCATACTGACGTCTCCAACATTAGACGCAAAATATAAGATGTGTTGCTTAATTTCGAAATAAAATATCAATTATCTTGTTGCTGCTTCAGGGTACGATGGGATTACTCTCGTCGCCCTGTGTATAAAAGATCTATAAAACAAAATTATAATATTGTACTTATACATAATGTATAAATAAATAATACTAATATTATAACATTATATTAGTATTTTATTAGTATCTTGTTTCATTTTTTCGTATTCTATTATTTATTAACAGTAATACAGTCTATACTAGTATGATTGTTAACGCTAACTACTTTGAAATGTAACTTTGTAATATAAAAATAGATATAATACATATATGTAAGTGTAACCTGTCAAATTGAGAGTCAAATAAATTATTATTATGGTGGGTATAAATATAGTTTTATTATCTGGTTGGGTTCTATAAATATATAATTATAAATGAAAATAAAAAGATACATAAATATCAATAACATAAAATAAATATAAAAATACATATAAACCACCCGGAGACCAAACGGCCGAGGGTTGGGGGAAAGGGAAAGAAACCGGCGGACGATGCGGGCGGTATCGATGAGCACCGCCTTCTGCATTTGAGCCCGGAGCGGTCCGTCACGAAGTCCCAGTCGCCTCAAATGGCCCGAGAGGCTGGCCGGGATTAACCCGTTTGCAGACACGACTACAGGAATAATTTCGGTCGACAGACCACCCCCACATGTCGGTCACCTCGTGAGCCAGGTCCAGATATTTTGTTTGCTTATCTGTTTCGGCTTTCACGAGGTTCTCGTCATACGGAATGGTAATCACCAAAAATATCCTTGACTGTGCCCGGTCCATCAGCACAATATCAGGCTTATTCGCAAGAATAGTCCTGTCTGTGATGATGGCCCGGTCCCAATAGAGCCTGGCGCGATCATTTTCGAGTACGGCTTCTGGCAAGTACTTTTAATACGGCAATTTCCGATCCACGAGACCGTATTTCAAAGCGAGCTCCTGGTGAAGAATTCTGGCTACTAGGCTGTGCCTGTGCAAGTACTCAGAGTTAGAAAGCGCCGAACAACCGGAGATGACATGCCTAAGTGACTCAACGGGATGCCGACTAGCTCGACAGATGTCGACGGTGCCGTCCTTTAGGATGTATCTCCGATAGTTGTTGGTCTTAATAACCTGATCCTGTATTGCACAGACAAAACCCTCGGTTTCCCCGAAGAGATCACCAAAGCGTAGCAAGTGAAGGGAGGCTACTGTGTCTACGAAAGGCTCATATAGAGCCTTGTAGAACCTCCCGTGGAGCTCCTTCTCCTTCCATACGGTCTCCCGGTCGGAAATGCTCTGCACTGCCGGGTCTTGCCATTGCTCGTTGGCTAAGGATAGAGGGGTAAGTCCTTTATCACAAGAAATGACGTCCTTATAGAATGGATCATCCGATCTCGCCAGAAAGTAATCACGGAGGCTGCACACTTCGCGATTATGCATGGTGAGCGCGCTCAAGAAGCCACGCCCAACATGCTTTCGCGACAAGTACAGCCACATTACCGACGATCTCGGATGATGCATCCTATGGGACGTCATTGTAGTGCGGACTTTTCTATCCAGGGCATTAAGTTCAGTCTGAGTCCACCTGAGTATGCAAAGGTATACATGAGAACAGGCATGACCCAACCATTATATGCGTGTGTCTTATTCACACCGGACAAAAGGCTGTTAAGCACTTTGATCAAGCGTGCATAAAACACGTCGCAAACTGACTGTTTCATACCAGCCTCATCGATACCGATGTTCTGTGACATACCCAGGTATCGGTATGTTTCAGCCTCGGAAAGGGTCCTTAAGTAGACGGGCATAGATAAGTCTATGCCCTTCGAGTTAGCAACCCTTCCCCTTTCAACATGGAGTACCGCACACTTATCCGTCCCCAGCTCCATTCCAATAGAATTGCTAAATTCACAAGCGATGTTTAGCAATTCCATAAGATGGTAGCGACTGAAGGCGAATAACTTGAGGTCATCCATGTAGAAAAGGTGGGTCACTTTTGTACCTCCTTTCCGAAGCTGAAATCCCCTCCCGGAGCCCTCTAGTAAAGTACTGAGAGGGTTCAGAGAGAGGCAAAACCAGATTGGACTCAGACAATCGCCCTGGAAGATACCCCTTCTTATCGTTATGTGGATCTCTGCAGCCATCATCCGCGCGCCTAGATAGCAAAGTATTGTACTCCACTACCCCATACATTGCTCGAGGAAGTTTCCAACTGTACAGTCAATCTTGTACAGCTGGAGGACTCTTTTTAGTCATGTATGGGGCACCGAGTCGAATGCTTTTCTGTAGTCTATGCAGGCGGCGAAGAAGTTCTGGCGGTTGCGTTTCACCACTTTGCCAATGACCGCGTTAATGAGGAGTGGTTCCTTGGTTCCACGACCACCGCCCCGACATCCATTTTGAGCGCGTGCCATCACCTAATATAGCTCCAGGTGACGAGTGATTCCCGTGCTCAAAATGGATGTCAGTGTCTTATATATGGTGGGTAGACACGTGATGGGGCGATATTTGCTCGGGTCTGTGGTATCCTGATCTTTAGGAACCAAGTGAGTGATCCCAGTAGTGAAGAGGCTCGGGAGCGACTTCTGATCGAGAGCCTCTTGAAACTGTCGGGCGAGCACAACGTGACACACTACGAACCCCTTCAGCCAGTAATGATGCAGCCCGTCGAGCCCCGGACTTTTCCAGTTCGGGGCCCTACGGACCACCTCAGCCACGTCTTCAGGCGTTATGGTGACGGGGTCCATAGGCGTAACACTTGCACTCTGGCTCGCCACAACTTCCATCCAAGGGCCCTCGCTGTGGTGTACGGGCTTTGAACACAGGCCAGGGCAAAATGCGACAGTGTCAGCCTGATCCGGTCCTGGGCCCGCTCCACATACCTCTGGTCGCTCCAATGATTTATGGAGCTTCTTCTGATCACTCTGGAAGAGATGATTCTGGTTGAACCGCCTTGACCTCTCGCTAAATCGTCGAATCCGCTTCCCCAAACAGCGATTTTTTGCTTCAGATCATCTATGCGCTCCGTTAGTTTCTGCGTGATATCCGGCTGGGACAAACTAATATTTGTCCCAGCAAACGCCATTCTAACGGTGCGCACAACTCTCGGTCTATTCTTACCCAACCTGAAGCTTGTCAGTCTGCCGATAAGGGCCCTTGCCTTTGTGATACAGTCCTCGATTCTTTTTCTCCAGGCTGGGATGGCGCTACTTTGTTGAGTAGCACGTCCAGCCATGGGAAGTTTGGCGCCAATAATACGGCATACTGCCAGTGCGGCGCCAAAAAGAATTGAGTCCGTCTCGCAAAGGTCCCGGCTGGCTTTCAAATAGGTCACCAGCATTGGGTTAAGAGCCCGCACGACGGCCCGATTTCGCTTGCTAAGGGCAATGCGGGGAAGTCGCGGTCGATTTTCGAGAGGCATGCTGCGCGTTTCCAGCATCGACACTTCCAATATGCTCCTCATTTTCTCTAGTTCGTGGGAGACTATTCCATCATCGTCTGAATTAACCACAAATGGAATATTGATGGCAGCATCCACATATGCAGTTTGCTGCACATCTAGTGGCGCCGCATTCCCAGCCGTAGCATTTCCATTCGATGAGGGAACAGCCTCACGTCGTAGTCCTTCGAGTTCGGCGTCATCAAATATGTTGGAGCGCAGGATGTACCGAACTCGGTCCGCCAGGTTTTGCTCAGTGACGGATAGAGATGGCTCCAGCTCTGCAAAAAAAGCGATGCATCCTAGCCCGATACGCCAAACCTCCAACTTCTCCCCCTTTCGCCCTAAAATACGCCCGCAATGCGTTAGTGTTCATTTCGATTGTCCATCGCATGCGGCGTACTCCACCAGTCGGTCCGATCTGGGCCCGCGAAGACCCTGCCAACACCAAGCCAGCTGGTGGGGATGATGGATGCGAGGGGCTGGTGGGTGGTTGTGCAGCACCTCTCGCTCGGCTGGCGTTTCGCATGCTGTCGTGCCCAGCGCCAGCTCCAGACGCGCCCTGGCGACCTCCAGGCAGCGGCCCTTTGCGCGTTCTTCCGTATTCTATCATCCATAGTGGTGGGCGTCATTTAACGGGAGACGCCCAGACCCGGCGCCCTTTCATGGTGGGGCCATGTTCACAAGCGGGCCTTTGCACCATCAATTTTTGCCGAGGCACGGCACTAACACCTCTTGGCAAGGTGCTGACTGACTGCGCTGACGTAGTGGTTTTTACATACAACCGTTACGTCAGCGGGCGATGGAGTCGTCACTTCCCTACGCCGTTTTATTATTATTATTATTTTTATTAAAACGCACTATTGGGAAATATTTCAATATATTATGGAACATGTAATACTTTTGTAAGAACTTACTTAATAATTGTATTTTGTGTCATTTTGTATTTTTAAATAAATGACGTTATCAGATAATGTCAAAAAAGCATTTTGATAAGTACACCTTTATCATGTAGTACAATAACGAAGTTGTATAACTCTTACTCTCATTAAAAGGAATAAGGTTTATCCATTATATTGTAACGTGTATACTTTTTGAGCTCCCACGTTACGAGCCTTCCTCGGACTCGTGTTTCACCTAATTAGCAGGTCCTTGTAACCTCGCCCGCTTCTGTCACTGCTACTTATATCGGCGATAAAATAAAATATTTAATGTTAATGCAATGTTGCCATACGAAGAGATTGTAAGATGAGACACGCACTTAACGGTCCTAACAAATTCAACAGTATTGATTAAAATATAAAACTGCTGATTCTGTAGCTGTTGTGGTAATTCAGGAAATGGAAATCTTTACTTCATTACTATGGTTCCCATCGGAAGCCCATCCAAGCCTTAATTTAATCGTTCCTTAAAACTGCATATAAGCCGGAATGTCACCAACAGGCTTATTTGCTAACTTTATTGACATAAAAAAATTATAATCACTTTGTAGAACGGCTACGGGAATACTTTCACATAAATTTCGCATTACTACCAGTGCCAGCCGGAACGCAAGGTCCTTTAACACCTTAGACCATTTGGTCTAAGGTGTTAAAGGACCTTGCGTCCCTTTTGTCTAAGTTTACACGTGTAAAATGCATGTATATGTAATATGTAAAGCATAGATCTAGCTGAAACTTATAGAAGAGGTGTGTAATTCAAATTAATAAAAACCGTTATTTTTAAGTACAACGAAACACCAACACTAGAAAGTATCTAAGTTATACTTTATATGAAAAATAATATAACGTTAAAAGTAACTATAAAATGAACTGGAAAGAACATCATTACAATCTAATTATCTATCACCATGTTTTTATACTACTTGATTTGCTTGATTGCGTGATTACAGATCATGAGGCCCATTAATTAACCAGTTTGACCACACAAAGCCCTTGAATCTTAATATTGAGTGACGCCTTACAACGCAATTTTTACTCACACTAAATATGTCATCTTATCACTTCTAAAGATCGTTCTACAACCATGTCGACGTACTTATATATAATAAGTTCTGTGATGCATGAAAAAAATTCACGGCTCAATACGTGAGATATAACACTATAAAATGCAATATTACCAGTTGTACCAGCGGGTTGTGTTACGCAAAATGTCTAAAATTTTACAAAAATTAAACATCGATTATTCCACTCTCGACACGACAAACAAGTGCACATTACAGCTCTTATAACTGCGTCGGAACCGAACCGGGGCTGGGTTATGTAAGCGATCGGAATAACTCTCGGTCGCTACGCAAATCAAAACACTGCGCTTTCAAGGTCCGTCAAAATTTTGCCCTGCTCCAATTTATTAAGTACAAAAGCAAATTACCTTAACGGATTATTTAAATAGGGCTAAATTGTTTTAAAGGTGAAAAATGCCGTCAGACTTAATGACCACGTGAAGTAATTAATTGGCCCTCCCATGTTAATAATTCGAGCACATAAACGTTCTCAATGTTTCACTTCCCACGAGCGTAGTTTATGCCACAACAGGGATTCGTGGAATCTCAACCATCGCAACGTTGAGCATCAACGCCCTGATACGTGCCAAGCATACTTAGGTCCGCCATCCTACACCGAGAAGTGTATTACACTAATTGATATTATTTATCACAAACTTATATTTCTTAAGCATAAAGTGCTTAAGAAATGGATGTAAATACGATTCGTTCTATCCTTATTATTAAGCCCCTATTTAATAAGTAATAGTAATTTCTTACTTCTTTTTCTTTTTTTTTTTACGGTATTATAAATAACATTTTAGTGACATTTTATTAGGTAATCGTATAAAGACGGTACTATGAATTATTCTCGAAACATTTGAGACTAAAAATATTAACACATTTACGAGCATTATATACTATAAGGACTTTATGGACCTTCAAAGTGGATATACATATTATGTTGAAATTTCGATCTTCAAATATTGCAACTACTTTGAAACAAGAAGCTAATAAATTGACTTCTCAATACCAAACTATTATATATATATATATATAGAAGCGCTATAATAAATCGCGCATCAACAATACCAAATTTTTATTTTATAGAAGAGGAAACAAACGATCATGCATCTGACCTGATGGTAAATGCCTACCGCCGCCCATTAACAACACCAGGGGAATTACAAATGTGTTGCCGGCCTTTTAGAAATCTCTTTTCTTAAAGGTCCCTAAGTCGTATCGTTCCGGAAAATCGCCGGTGGTAAACAATTCCATAGAGAGGTTGTACGAGGAAGAAAACGCACAATGGTGGACCGCCAAGTATCCTGATGGTGAGGATGGTATAGTGAATTTTAACGCGATGTGCGTTCGTAAAGTTTGGTGGCAGTAATTAATCAGAACAATTCCTTGGAGCACTCCTGGATACAACATCCCTACGCAGCGCCAGTGAACTAAGTGAAATGAAAAATAAATCAGTGAAACTACGTAATAGAAGCGCTAGGTTGAATGTTTTATGAAATTAAAAATTGTACTTACCGTATTTCATATCGTACCTAAGATTGTGACCATCTATTTATACCTTATTTAAAATACTCGATAGACCGGCAACATAAAGCAAGCAGTGTTAGGGTGTAAGACGTCTGGATTAAATCGTCAGTCAGCCCGCTAAACGTGGCAATTACGGTAAATCTTCTCTATTGAGGCTCGTGTAAGAATATTTATGATCCGATGAAGACAAAAAATTAAGACTACGAATTTGATGGTATGACATTTATATAATATAACTACGCTAGTAATATATAAGTCAATGAATATAACATATTGGATGATGATGGTAATATTTGGAATTTGATTGGATATTCCAATACGTTTGTTTCACCGTTAATTTAATTTCACTGCCAGTAATAACAAATCCCTATGAAATGGAACGTTCACAAACAAACTTGTATTATATACATTTTACAAAGAACTATGAAAAAAACTTGAGGCACCATCATTTGTAAAAATTATATACGAAACTTCAACTTTCTGCGAGCATAAAAAATAAATTAAGGAAGGAATTATACATGACGTTTTGGATGCATTGGAGTCAAATTTGATACTCGATTACCTTCTAAGTTCCTTATTGACACCTCGCAACTGAACTGTGTACACTTATTACTTCAAGATAAAATAAAAAGGCGTACCGGTCAGTGCTTGCGCAACCGTTAATTCTGCATTAAATCTGCTTACATGCAATGTTAAACAACTCTCGACCGCCGACGTCCTTAATTAAGGTAAAACGTCCATCGCAGTTGGATTATAAGATCCGATACGATCCGATTTTGATTGATATTGTGGTGAAAACGTAACACTTGTTTCGCTTGATTTCCACTCGCTTTAACCTGGACGAAAGGAGCTATCGCTGACAATATTTCAAATTCGGAACAGCAGAGGATTAAGGTCGACAACCATGAACAACAGGAATACTTGCGATCAGATCCGCGATAGCCAAAGGTACATGATGTTACTTTGGTACGAAATAAAAGCCTTTGTAAGTCTTAATATTATCATTTATGTTTCTGCCATGTTTGATGTTAAAAATTAACATCGCTCTACTTTTTTTTTCTTTTTTTAACCATTGTCAAAAATACGAGAATAATCTACATTTAGAGCGATTTCTTTTTAGTATCGATGATTTATTGGATATGGCTGAAATGATCTAAATTTTTTTCTTATTCAAAAGAAAATATCATTCCTAAGGATGGTAAAATAGGGTATGTAAATGTAAATGCACCTTATCTAAACGACATTTTAATTTTTATCTTGAATTTTTGATATTCCATAGACCCCTCAAAATGGTAAAAAATTAAAAATTTAGCTTTTAATAAAAAGTAAAACTTACTTTAAAAACTTAAATACTCGTAAAGTTATTTACATATAGCTCCCAAAGTCGGGGCTTTACTCCTAACACTTCTTCGATTCACTATGACTTAAATATTTATTCTTATTAACCAACTGACCTCAGAAGCTATAAATGTGGAAAGTTTTTTTTTTTTAATTATTGAAGTCGGTTTTACTTTTTCATAAAAGTTAAGTAATAAAAGGAATATCAATCCAAACATTCATTTCTATAAAATTAAGTAATTCATATTAATTACAATATAAGTTAAGTAGTATTAAATTTAAAAAATTGAGAAAGTTACAGCCTGTATATGTGTCCCACTCCTGGGCACACGCCTCCGCTCATTTCTAAGAGGGTTTCAGGGCAATGAATTATCCTCCCCACGGTCCCAATGAGTGTTTGCGAACTTTACATGTGTTAGAAATATTTTTTTCTTAATTCTCAGACGTGCAGGTTTCC